CAAATATCCAGTGAAGTTTAAACAAACAAATGACACTAATAGACAATAATGTATATCATGTGCTCACATTAGAAGCCTCATTTTCAGCAAGACGAGGAAGAAAGAATAGGATTTGGACTCAGGTACAGAGACACTCATCACATACATCCAACCCACCCCACCACCCCCCCCCTCCCCCCACCGCCAAGATAAAAGCAATTGCAAAAGACCCACTCTGATACAATAGCTGAGCCATTAGGGGCCATTGTTCGGCAGATCTCAGGGAGTATTGAGGCCACACAATGTTTCAAAAAATATATTTTCTTTCATTTATGGGAGCACAGCTAAAGATCTCCAAGTTTTGCAAAAATACCCCAGGGGACTATAAGATGGAACAGAGCTCTGATCATCCATACCTAATTATTCACAGTTGGTGTTATCAGGTATCAAGCAAACAGCAGTTCAGTTATCAGATATCAAGCAAACAGCAGTTCAAATGGGTCTCTCAGGGTCATAGGTCCCTAGCCACAAAACGGGAGAAACCCAGCCAATGTCCCATCAGAGATGAAGCTGAATAAATGACCAAGGCTAGTTCAAAAAAGGGAAAAATCCCAACCAATGCTCCACCACAGGCAAAACCAACACAATAGAGAAGGATGCCCTGGAAAGAAGTAGAGATGGTCTAGTAAAGACGTAGGGCTTCCCTGGGGGCGCAGCGGTTGAGAGTCCGCCTGCCGATGCAGGGGACACGGGTTCGTGCCCCGGTCAGGGAAGATCCCACATGCCGCAGAGCGGCTGGGCCCGTGAGCCATGGCCGCTGAGCCTGCGTGTCCGGAGCCTGTGCTCCGCAGCGGGAGAGGCCACAACAGTGAGAGGCCCGTGTTCCGCAAAAGAAAGATGTAGTTGTAATGTTTAAAAGCAAAAAAAACAACCTGATGGAATTTTGAAATGTTTTTAAATTTTATATATATCAACATTCTTTGAATAAATACTTTCTAAATTAAAAAAAAAAAAAAAAAGGATACCCTGGTGTCGTCACACACGAGCCCAGCCTGCGCAAGCTGGAGCGACTTACCCCCCAGGCGACACTGAATGTGGACCACAGCTCCGGACGTTTCTCGGTTCCGAACAGCCTTGTGCCGAGGGGTGGCCAGCACCTGTCAGGGATAGTCCCTCCGAGATCCGCAGAGCAAAGTGTACTGTGGCAGCTGCTGGGCCTCAGGGAAGGGGCTACCTCTGGCTGGGGTCGACCTGTCACATGCACAGACTCGGCTGGCTCACCAAAATTGCTAGCAAACACTTTTGTGTGCCCGACGCAGTGAGGCCAAACAATACCAAAACGTTGGAGTTTGGAGCAGAGAAAGGTTTATTGTAGGGTCACGCAAGTAGAAGGGTGGCTTGTGCCCCCAAAACCCTGAACTCCCCGAAAGGTTTCAGCAAAGCATCTTTAAAGGCCAGGTGAGGGAAGGGGGTCACAGGGTATGTGATCAGCTCATGCACAGTTCTCTGATTGGCTGATGGAGAGGTAACAGGGTGGTGTCACAGGGGTTAACATGCTCAGTGCTTAGGCTCCAGGAGGCCTGGGGGCTATGTGCTCAGGGTCATCAAGTAGTTAACACCTTCCGTTTGGTGAGGGGTTTTCACATCTGTGAAACAACTCAGGACCTGTACACCAGATGCTGTTACCTGGGTGCTTCAGGGAGGAGCTAAAGCAGAGGAGATGGGGGAAGGGCCTGTCCCGGGGAGGCCCCATAGGGTCCCGCTCGGTTACATTAGTGAAGGCAAAGTCTGCTGTGCCCCTGAGCAGACACCCAGGTGAGCCCTCCTGGATTGGGGACTTCGGCTCCAGAACAGCCCGGAAGTCCTCGTGGGTCCCAGACGTGCTGAGGTCCGACCACTCATAACTTGCATTCTGATTTGCATGAAAACAAAAAATATTTGACACTTTTGTGCCTCTTTCAGACTCCCAAAGTGGTGTGAGTGTCCGCTTCTTTCTCTTGCCTCCACTGTGTGTATCGGGAAGAAAGGTGTCTGCTGGCCCTTTGCTCTCTAGCTCTCGGCCACGTGGCCACTGCACGGTGGTGGCCGAGGGCAGGAGAGTTTCTGTGGCCACTCACCTCAGAAGGAAGGCAACTGTTTTTCTTTGATATTTTGGCAAGAAAGCTTTGACAAAATTAACTGAAATACAGAATCCCTGCTGTTTCAGCTCAATAAGAGCACTGAATTGTGATTGATTTTGGATTCAAAAACTGCACAACACTAACATGTGATTTGAAATATTTTTAATGTATTAACAACTAGGACATCTTTTGTGGTCAGACAGTGTTTGTTGATTGGCCAAGTGTTGACAATGGCTGGTCACTGGCTCTGGTGTTTTGCATCTGCCAATGGTCATTCCTTTCCTGGCTGCTCCAGCCTCTCTGCCCCAACCCCAGGTGAGTGGCGGGCAGATCACCCTGGACATTCATCAAGAGCCCTGCCTGCTTGATTCCACGTATGTAAACATAAAGTACCCAGAAAACGGAAAGGACTGAAAAGGCAGCACACTCTTGGAGTCTGGCGTTGGGAACCGGGAAAACAAACTTGTTTTTTTGTTAAAATTGACCTATTTGGATTCGGTGCCGGTCAGAAATAAATATGCCCTCTTGCGGAAGCGAAATATTTCTATTTCAGTGGAAGACCTATATTGTCAAACTGTAACCACAAGTCATGTCTCATCTCTCAATGTCTAACTAACTGCATGTTTTATCACAGGGACAAGCGGATCTCTTGAAGTACGCCAAGAACGAGACTGTGGAGAACCTGAAGCAGATCCACTATGCGGCTGTCTCCTGTGGACTCAATAAACCAGGCACGGAAAACACCGACGTCCAGAAGCCGCGCCGGAGCCTTGAAGTCATACCCGAAAAAGCAAACGATGAAACTGGAGAATGAGGGCACCTTCTAGAGATGATTACAGAATTTATAACTCTAGGACCAATTGTAGCCAGATGGGACATTTGCTTTGCACTCACTAGTGAAAAATAATATTGGGGATTTTAAAGCACAACTGGAATAGCTAATTGCCGTCTATTAAAACTGTGAATGTATGTAGCAACCCTGCGTGTGGAGGCAAACTCTTTAACAAGAAATTCTCTTCCTGGCCCAAATATGCTATATTTGTATACAAAGAGATCATAACTCAGTTCCAGTGTGAACAGACTAGCCACTCTAGTTCCAGCGAGAAACAGACATTTTCCTAACTGAAAACAGTGTCTTAAGACGCATATGGATTGTATGGTCTAATTAGTATTTACTGGGGAAAAACCGAATCTACAAGTTTTACTTATGTATGATTGCTGGGGTCTCTGGGTTCCAGATGTTTTTGGAGGCGTGCCTGCTGAGCCATGGTTACAAAGGAGAATGTAAGTGGTCTTGAACTTGGACAGCCACTAGGTTCAAGGGCACTGCAGCTGGACGGACACTCCTGGCTGGAGACACCTGCTGGGTACACACTGTAAAGGCAACCAACCTGGCAGCAACACACTGTACATAGTCTTTCATTGTGTTAAGTAGTGGTCACATTAAAAAGATATTTTATGATATTTCTCCAATAACAGTACGTGAATTTAATGAAAGTTTAACTTTTTAAACATTTCCAGTTCAAGATATTCTACTCTTAAGAAGAGTGGCCAGTTACTTGGTGAACAGCTTTGTCAAAAATAAGTTGCTTGTCTGGCTTGACATTTTGCTCTTAGTACATACAGCAGCCATGACTTTACATAGTGGCAGCTGTCTGTAAAACAACCCACACCGCTTCCCCCTTCTCAGCCTGTTGATTCCTGCCGTAGGGGAGTGAGCCTGGACATGGTGCAGACAGTAAGCCAGTGGCAGGTGAAGGGGCTGGAGCGGGTGCCATGCTCCACTGGCCAGCTGAGTCTTTAATCCAAGACTTTATTGTCCCAATCAGTGAAACGTCATGCTATTTTAGAAAACCTGATGGACACTGAAGCCTAATTACTGCTCCTCCCAAACCAAACTGCTCTCACATTTTGGAAGGGTAAAAGCTTTCTAAACCTTCGATAACCGCTTTTTCATTTGTCCATATTCTTTTCAGTGACTCAGGTAAGCCAGACAACTCTGTGGAATCCCCAACTTGGCGCCTCATTATTTCCTCACAGTTAGGGAAGTGGTCAGGCTGATATATTGAATTTATTTATGCCCAGACCCTGAAATAGCCTTTTACAAAACAATTCCTTTTTCCAGTTCTTGTCATTTGCCTGCTGATCGTGTGCTTAAATTAAGGTATACATCTCCACTGGTCTTCACTCAGTGTCATTCCAGTCAGAAAATTAAACGTCTCTGTTACTTGAATAATAGTGTGGTTTCCTGCTCACACCAGCCAGCAACCAGCCAGCAGCTTAGGCTCTTAGCTCTGAAATTAACTCTACATTGGAAAAAAAAAACAAAAACAAAAATATGTAGAAAATAGTAAAGAATTAAAAGTAGATTTGTAGACTGAGAAATAAAATAATGTGTAATTTAGATTATGGCTAGCAATCCTTGAACTTAGCTGGCAAGTAAATCGCAATATTCAGTGACAATCCAGAAATCATAAAAAATGACTTAAAATATTATAAAATTGAAAAAAATTGCTACATTTATAGTAATGGCAGATCGTATCTAATATGTGACTTAAATGACTCTGAGACCAAGGCACCTGTCATTGGCTAGGTTTCATATAGGCTTTTAGGATCAGCAGACTTCAAAACCGAAGGGGTCTATGAGATCATTCCATCTGACGTGTCCTTTCCCAGATGCAGATGTTGCAGACAAAAGCAATAAAATGCGGTGCCCGAGGTCACAAAGTCTGTCGGGGGAGTGACCCAGCCCAGGGTTTGCTCCATGTTTCCATGCTAAGAAAGTCAGCCTTCTTTTGACCCCTCTCTTCAAAGGGATAAGCCAAGCAAAGGAAAAAAGCAGGCGCACTTGCTGGGGAGTTGTTCACCAAGTCGCAGAGTTTCTCCTGCTTGTCTAGATCCCACTCCAGGGAGCACTGTCTCCTTCAAGACGGTGACCAAAATCAGCAGAGCACACAGTCATGGCTTATTCGTGCCTAAGCGACCCTCTTTTCTGACTGTGAAAGATTCTAAAGGATGAATTACAATTGTTTAAGGAGGGGCAGTGATGGCCAGAGTTGATGTGGTCTGAGGTTTAGAAATGTATTCTTTAACAAATGAAAAAAACTGGAACCGGGTGGCAGGTAAATATGATTCCTAAGTTTAGACCCTGTAACTATCTGGGAGGTTTCGTCCAGCCCTGGGCTCCACTAGTTCTAGTCCCTTTGGCTGCGTCTGGCCTCTACTGTATGGCTTCCCAAGGGAGGAATGAAGTATGAAATAGGTTGAGATACAGATTTCCAGAGAGAGTGTTTTCTTGGTATCAGTTTTCCTATGCCTGATGCTCTGGGGGAGGGAAGATTTGAAACCCACTCCTTCCTTCTAGATACACCGGATGGTGTGGCCACACCTTCTTTGCTGGCGAGGAGAGGACAGAGCAAGTGATTCTAGCTGTGGTTTGGTCTTTTTGGACAGTGAGTGTGATGCTGGGGACCTTACTGGCGGGGCCGGGTGAGCTACAGGGAAAAGCTGTCTGCATTTTGGGGAAGGTCTGCGTGCTCAGCGGGCCCCCTGCTTCTCTCCGCAGGTTTAAAGGGCTGCACCAAGGCCACGTGCGCGCTGGGAAGAGGCTGGGTTTCAGAGGCGTCTTCACGGGGCTGCGGGGGTGGCCGGGCGGCGGTCAGAGGTCCAGGGGGCTCACGATGGTGAAGCCCGAGTCCTTGCTGTTGCCGCTGCTGTCGTCGTCGGGGCTGGGGCTGGAGCTGGGGCTGCCGGACGAGGCTGAGGCTGAGGCCGGGCCGGTCAGCGGGTCTGAGAACACCGGGGCGCGCCGGGCCGAGCTCCGGAGGGGCCGCGGGGCCTGAGCCTGGCCGACCGGGGGCGCCCTGGCGCTGCCCCCTTCGTCGTCTTTGGAGACGAGGATGAAGTCGTCCATGTCGCCTTTCTCCCTGCGCCCCGGCGGCGCTGCTGAAGGGGCCTGGGAAGGAGTCAGAGCACAGCGGGGGAGGGAAGAACCGGTGAGATGGTGAGATGCGGAGCAGGTTGGGGGCCCCACGGTCCCCCCGGAAAGACGCAGGGAGGCCCCTCTGATGGGAGCTGTGGGCCTGGGGAGCGGAGCACACGGCCCGCGGCCCTGCCCTGCTCATCACCCTCCTCCTGGGGCGCCAGCTTTCCCATGTGAGGGGGCGTGGGGTGAGGACAGCGTGTCCGTCCTCGCCCCCGCCCTCGGGTGTGGCCGCCACGCAGTGAGTGACGCGCCCAGATGGTTATGAGGCCCCAGGCTGGCTCCCCAGTGTGCCCCCCACCCCCCATCTGCAGTGATGCTACCACCGCCTGCAAGGGGGCTGCAGGGGGAGCCCAATGTGTTCCATCTCCTCACATCTCACAGCCGGCTCATCCTGGCTGAGCGCCGGCGGTCTCTCAGGACAATGCAGGGGGCTGGGAGCGTCTACAGACACAGAAACCCGGAATGGTCCTTTGCAAAAAGTATAGAGACGCAATGGCTTTACTCTACAATTATTTTCCTTTCTTTCTGAGTAATTATGTGTTTTGTTTTTAACAAAAACAGCTGACATCCAAGGACACTGGTCAAGGTTTTGGGTTAAGATCAGAGAAGCTCCTGCCAGCCCTGGGATGAAAGTAAAGCCACAGTCTGACCAGGGATGTTCCAGCCTGGCAGGAAGAGCCCTTGCCCACGGCCAACTAAGCCAATGTAGTGGCCACACCTGCTGCCTGCCCCGCCCGCCTACTCTCCCCGAGGGGTGGGGGGAATTGGGGCAGGGCCTGAGGTCTAAGGAGGGGTACAGAGCCCCCCGGGGACCTCTGGCTCCAGCATGGCCAAGACCACCTTTGGGCTATGGGCAGAGCCTGGACAGAGAGTCAGCAACACTCCTCAGGGAATCTGGGTGTCTGACAGGCCCCCTCTGAATTTCATGTTCTCCTGAGTGACATGCGGGCCAGTGGATAAATAATGGCTCAGGTGTCTCCCCCGCTGACAATTTGCCTACTTTTAAGAGATTTAATCGGAGAACAGGAACAGAATGGCATTAAAGATGCCAGTGCTGAGACACAGCAGGCCTCAAGTTGTAAAGCTGTTTTATAGCCTGTCAACACAGCAATTCTTACAAAACGGAAGAGACATGCAGCACATGGCCCTGCAGTAGAAGGGGATGTGATCCCTAATGGCACTAGGGCAGTTTGGTGAGACAGATGGCCCTTTCTCATCCCGTTACTGCCCTCTGTGAGGTGTTCAGGGCCAGGGGGCCTCAGGGGAGGGTGTCCCCCCACGTCCATGCCCGCGGGTGCACGTCAGGCCTTGGCTTTGGCCTCCCACCCCCAGACTGCAGGTGCTTTGTTCGTGTGACTGCTGTGCTGAGCTATAAGCCGCGAGAACCTTGACCTCCCACCCCACTCAGGAGCTTGTCTGAGGTTGACAACAGAGCAAGGACAGTCCTATTTTCAGAGCCGTGTCTCTACTGCAGAAATGCCAAGATAACCTATCCGCCTTCAGCATACAGTGAGGACATGGGCAGGACTTGAAGAGGAGAAACACCTGTAACGTGTTTTAGCCTGTGACTAGAAGGAAAGATGGTTCCTACCATCACTAATTATCTGGCTTGTTTCTGGAAAAGCAGTGGAGTCAAGTTATAAACGGTGAGTGACGCCGCCCTCCCCCCAGTTTCCGGATAAAGCCATGACTGGCTCAGACAAGGCACGTTAGAACTGCCAGGGCTTCTGCAACCATCTTTTCTTCTTACCCCACTGCACCATTACCTTACGAACCAAGAACTGAAGCCCAGGTCAGAGGCCTAGAGACTTGGCCGACATCACAAGCATATGAAAACACCCCATTCTTCTGGATTCCCACCTAGAATTTTTTTCTAGACCCAAGTAAGCTTTCTCTCTGGATTTCCATAGCAATCTCAGCTACCACCTGGTGCCGTTTCTATCCTTTACAGAAACTTTGTAATTTCCCAGGTCGGTCTTCTCTTTCTGCCAAACACAGGCGTGTGTCACACGATATAAAAAGTTTCTCAACGTGTCAGTCCTGCCTACAGCTGGCCAGCACGGCCACCTTCCCCGCCCTGCCAGCCCACCACTCCTGTTGCTCAGATTGATTTAGGATCGCAGCGGAAGCAGGTGCCGTTCAACAGGAATGGTCCACACACGCTGATGAAATGTCCCCTCTCTGTGCTGTCCAGGCAGGCAGCCCTACTCACATGAGGATACTGAGCGCTGGAGAGGCACCTAGTGTGACTGAGGAACTGAATTAACTTTGAATTCTCTTTGATCCTCATGAATTTAAATTGAATTTTAAGTAGACACCTGTGGCTAGTGGCTACTGCATTAGCCCCCCGCAGTTCTGGACCACAGAAAAAAATATGGGACCAAAGACCAGGGAGGCAGGTGATTACGGGCTGATGGACTGATGAATCAAGGGTCCTCCAAGTCCCTCCTTCTGCTGTGGTGGATTTGAGTGAAGTTCCTCCAAAACCTCCCAAAGATTCACAAAGGAGTGTGTGAAGGACAGACTGTGGAAGGGAGGGACTGAATGAGGCTCTTTTCACCCTGCAGAATACAATTTCCAGGACTTCCCTGGTGGCGCCATGGTTAAGAATCCGCCTGCCAGTGCAGGGGACACGGGTTCCATCCCTGGTCCGGGAAGATCCCACATGCCGCGGAGCAACTAAGCCCGTGTGCCACAACTACTGAGCCTGCGCTCTAGAGCCCGCGAGCCACAACTACCGAAGCCCGCGCGCCTGCAGCCCGTGCTCCGCAACAAGAGAAGCCACTGCAATGAGAAGCCCGCGTACCACAACGAAGAGTAGCCCCCGCTCACCGCAACTAGAGAAAGCCCGCCGCAGCAATGAAGACCCAACACAGCCAAAAATAAACTAATTTAAAAAGATAAAAAAAGAACACAATTTCCCCTCTGCTGTTGGCAGAGCTCGAGAGAAGATGTGTAATCAGAGGGAAAGAAGAGCCACATCTCTACCAGCTTCCCAGGGGGGAGTGGGGTGCGTGCACTGCCACAAAGGAAGAGCCCTTTTATGTTTTGTTTTGTGTGTGTGTGTGTGTGTGTGTGTGTTTTTGGTACGCGGGCCTCTCACTGCTGTGGCCTCTCCGGTTGCGGAGCACAGGCTCCGGACGCGCAGGCTCAGCGGCCATGGCTCACGGGCCCAGCCGCTCCGTGGCATGTGGTATCTTCCTGGACTGGGGCACGAACCCATGTCCCCTGCATCGGCAGGCGGACTCTCAACCACTGCACCACCAGGGAAGCCCAGAAGAGCCCTTTTAAGTCCCTGGTGGGGAGGGGCACTGGCAGGGGGACCGAGTCCTCTGCTCCAAGGTGGGGTGAGCCCAGTTCTCTGCGGGAACGAGGGCCCATCACACTGCACTGCCCTTCCCGGCTCACGGCCAGCTCATGTGGAGGCTGCACTGGGTCCACCGGGGCTGCGCTGGCAACTGGTAGGTTCTTACAAATCTGCAAACTGGGAAGGACGATTACAAAGTATACTCAAGAAGTTTTCAATTAGCAAATTTGTTAGTGTTCTTCAAAGCTCTTTTTCTGTGGTATTTTTAGACATTCAACTAAAATAAATATCACGCTAAATTTTAAAATAAAATTGTCGAATAAAAATGGTCGGGGGGGGGTGGGCCTAAGCTCAATAATATGTGAATAAATAACTAGTTATTGAAAATTAAACATCTGGGCATGGAAGGGGAATCTGGAGGAACTAATCGAGGCAAGCTTGCAATGTTACTGTTGGATTCATGTGGCTTTAAAATGCAGACTCAAAATGCTCTCTGAAAATTCCCTTCTAAAGCTGGATGCAACGGACCACACAGGCTTCTCTTCTGGAAGAGTACTCTGAAAACTGAAAAAGTCCCATTCTAAGATGTCATTTTGCTTCTTTAAAGTCATAAAAAATATACAATTTACCAGCATCTGGATGCTAGTTTTTGAGAATAACTTAGATGAGGCCTAATGGGAGATTTTCAAGATGAAACTCTGCACACCATTTTAACAAGAATATTATTAGGAATGTTTAGTCCCATCAGATCACATGCCGGGAGGCAGCGTGGTGGAGCTGGAAGCTGACTGAACTGGGACAGGGGTTCAGAAAACAATTCCTCACTGGTAAAACGAGCAGGTGTTTCTTCGATCCTTCCTAACTGGAAAATTCTGGGATTCTATGTTAGAACAAATTACACACCATGCTGACACCCAAGAGCGCAGGTCAGCAAACGACAGCTCGTGGGCCAAATCCAGCCTGTGGCCTGTTTTTGTGTGGCTCTCAAGCTGAGAATGGCTCATGTATACATATATATATTTTTAATTTTTATTTTATATTGGGGTATAGTTGATTAGCAATGTTGTGTTAGTTTCAGGTGTCCAGCAAAGTGATTCAGTTATACATATGCATGTATCTATTCTTTTTCAAATTCTTTTCCCATTTAGGTTATTACAGAGTATTGAGCGGAGTTCCCTGTGCTATATAGGAGGTCCTTGTTGGTTATCTATTTTATATGTAGTAGTGTGTATATGTTAATCCCAAACTCCTCATTTATCCCTCTCCCCCAACCTTCTTCCCTCAGTAACCGTAAGTTTGTCCTCCAAGTCTGTGAGTCTGTTTCTGTTTTGTAAATTTTAAAGGGCTGTAAAAACAAGCAAGCTAGCGCACCAAATACAAAAGCAGGTATGTGACAGAGACCACACGTGGCCCGAAAACCCTAAAATATTTACTCTCTGGCTCTTTACAGAAAAAAATTGCTGACCTATGTGGCTTAGAGGATGGACATTGAGAAGTCCTTCCCCATGAAGGCCAAAAAGGTTCCAGGCCAGTGAAGTACACTCAAGACAGCATCAGGAAAGCATGGACAGCACTTCTTGTGCTAAAGGGGAATGGAGGCATCGGCTGAAGGCAACTGACCAATAACTGAGGCAGAGATCCGGCTTTCTAACACCGCACGGTGGGACTGGCAGGAGGCTCAGGCCGAAGCTGCTGCGTACAGGTGTGTAGGCTGTGCACTGCACAACTCCAGGAGACGCTAGTCTATTCTGAAGGGCACTGCCCAGGGCACTGGAGTACACAACTTGCACAGCTGGGTACATCACCCCTGGCTTAGGTCACCTGTATTTTACAGTTGAACTGCACACATGGTCACGTGAAGTAACTTTGGTGGGCTCGTATTATCCATAGTTTGAATGTGTGTGCATCCCCCGCCCCCGCTTCCTTCTCAGGCTGACGTGACAGTGTTCTCAGGCGCCTGTACCTGCTTGGTGGCCCTGGGCAGGTGACCCTGGCCGCTGGAGCAGTAGTGGTCGTCTGAGATGGTGATCTGCTCGTTCTCCTCGGCTTCCAGCTGGCTCTGGTTGAAACGCAGGGAACCTTTCAGAATGTCTTTGATCTGTTTTCAAAGAAGAAGAAAATCCATGAGAAAGATGAATGAGTTTGGTTTTAAATGTCAGCTAAACCTCGAATACATCTGAATCAGACTTGTCATTGACGGTTCTTTTATAGTGTGGGTATGAATTTATGACCATCAGAAAGAACAGGAGAAAAAATCCAGCTCTATATCAAAACCGCTGACTTATGAATGACCAAGGAAGACGCCACAGCCTGAATGGCCAGGTTCTCACAGGCGCGGACGGGCTGTCACGCCCTTGGTGGTTATCCCAGAGCAGGAAGCACCGCATGCCCTCACACCCGGCTCCACGGAACAGCCCTCAGCCTCTGAAGGGGCCCACCCACCCCAGTTGGGGGCTAATAACGCAGGCCGCGTCTCTTCACTGACATTTCTGTTCCATTCGGTCCTTCAAGGGTCGAGTCACTGCGGCCCTTGAGGGGCTGAGGCCTGTTATAGGAGGTGGTCGTTTATGCCTTGTGCTCCCGGGACATTCGTGATGAGTGACTGGACTCGAGCGGGACCACACACACCACAGCAGCTTCGATAAGGAGCAAACGGAACAGCTTTGCTACGAGGAAGGGGCAGGGGTGGGAAATGAGCAACCAGTCTGGGCTGCAGGCTGGTCAGACGTAATTGCTGGGCGGAGCGGGGCCGTGAGCAGGTAGAGTCAGGAGGGTTCTGTCTGGGAGGAGACGCAGGGCCAGGGGACACTTGCTCTGATGTCACGGTACCCGTGCCCTGGTGACCTCCCCAACAGGCACTGCAAGGGTGGCCTGTGTGACACAAAGTCAGAGCAATGGACATACCTGCTTTAGTCCTGCCAGGGAAACCAGAATTTGATCTTCTTTTTCCAAATTTTCTTGTAGTATCACTTCTTGAATATTTACTGAAAATAGAAGAATGACATTTTGTAACTAGTGGCCTGGGTGTAACTTATCTGCTGTCACACCATCACTTCAGACAAGCTGGGGAAGGCTTCTGCCAAGTTTCACAGCAACTCTTCCCACCAAGGACGCTCTGCCCATCTAGAGATGGGGCAGGTGCTGGGCACAGCGCGGGGGCACCGAGCCTGGTACACACAGCCTCCCCCAACATCCCACGGATGCGCTCTCAGGGTGACAGACGTGTCTTACTCCTCCAGAGGGCCCAGGGTGCCCCTTGCTGACCTAAGACGTGGTGAACAGCGTGGAGCGTTCATCCAGCGGCTGGGAGGAGGTGTTTCCGCTGGGCTTCCTACACTTCTCAGAGTTCAATGCTGTTACCTCACCCCTCTCGCTAAATAAAGACCAGGTCCTCCCAGGTGACGTACATTAAAGACACCATCTTTAACAAATGTCAACAGTACGGTATGTTGTCAATTCAACATAATGTTAAAAATAAAAGAACAAGCTCACGGAGTCAGCAACACTTAACCCAGGGTCTTCACAGGAGCTGCTTCCCTATGCCCTGCAGGAGGCTTGGCCTCTGCTGGAGAGGCCCTCAGCCGGACCTGATCTGAGGACTCGCCAAGCTGAGCTGACCACCAAGGGCTTCAGCAAGCAGGGGACCTCGGCCTTCCCCACCGCGTGCCTGAGGGATGCACCCAGCCCTGCTGGGGACTGTGGCTTCCGAGGAGGGGATTCTCGGGGGAGTGCAGGAGTGGAAGCCCCCTCCCCAGCGCTACGCAGGAGACTGTGTTCGGGGGCGGGGAATTGAAACACATTTTTACAAAGATACCATCCAAGCACCACACTGAGAATCGCTGCAGTAAGCAGGCTCACCCTCCGTTAACGCCTGCTTCCTTATTTCCTGGCCCTTAACAATACCCTACTTACAAGGCCTCACAAGCCATGTTCTCAGTCATTCACTCCACCAAGCTGGCCCAGTCTCTGCGCGGGGCTCCTCTGCTCTGTGCCCGGCCCCCCCGCGGCCCACGGCGGGAGAGGCGGGGCCAGCATCCTGCCTGCCCCGGGGCCTGGAGGCTCTGTCCCCAGAGCCCTGCCGACCGCTCCCGTCAGGGGTCCACCCTCGGCTCCCCTGCGGCCTCCTTGGAGCAGAGCCAAGCGGCCCAGGCCACCCTCTGGTCTCCCACCACCAGCTCTTCTACTGCCTCGACAATAAGCCCTGTCACACCCGAGGTTAGCACAGGCGTCTGCTGGCTTATCTGTGGTCCATCACCCCCAGTAGGGTCTGGTTCAGGACTACACCCCCAGCCCTCAGCAGAATGGCTGGCGCATTTCAGGTGCACGGTAAGTATTGACTGACCGACCGACTGAACAAACATGGAAAAACATCCTTGGAACCTGCACTGCAGAACACTGCTATCCTCAATACTTCCAAAAAGTAGCTCCAGCAAGGGGCAAGGCGAAGACTGGTACTATCCACACGAGTGCAGCCAGTTGATTAGAACCTTCGCTGAGAATAAATCTCCGGACCACACTGACAAGTCCTCTTACAGGCGGCAGCAGAAAAACAGCAGCCTTAACTTATTCAGAAAATGCGACTGCAGCCTCTGGCTAACAGAAAGGCCTGCTTCAGAACAAGAGAGCAAGATGAATGGGAATGGAATAATAGATATAATTAGAGAGGGAATGTTTCTGGTTTCCTTAAAAGCCTGTAACAATTTGTTCTCTCTCAATTAAAACAACAACAACAACAAAAAACCCATCATAAAATCCACTCAACAGGACATTAACGACAACCAACTGCAGAAGACTGACCAGAGAGACAGTTCTGTAGGTCTTTGGGAGGACTGAGAAGGGTTGCCTTTCAGGGTTGCCTCAGGACTGCTTGGCTTTTTTTTTTTTTTTAACCATATAATTTTATTTATTTAAAATTCTGGAAAATTCAAAGTAATTTATGGTTACAGAAAGTAGGACAGTGTATGCCTGGGGTCAGTGGGTTGGGGAGGGGTGAGAGGAGGAATTACCAAGGAGCACACTTGTCAATGAAACATGAACAGAATCGAAGTATACCACTTCCAGGATGGAAATGTAAGGCCTCTTCATAACTCCTCCATTCTCTCTCCTCCCTTCTAGCTATCTGGAACCCATGACAACTCACTACCCCAACTATAGGTGAAAACAAGGACCTGGAGGATAGTGTATCCCTGAATGGCCAAATGAAATAGAGGCTCAACGTTTACCTTGAACACTCCCTCAGACTACTATGCGGGAGGAAAGTAAACTTTAGTCTCCTTTAAGGCACTGAATTATTGTTGGATCTTTTTGTTAGAGTAGCCTAGCCTTATTGTATCAAATATTTATTGAATTTTAAATTTCAATGACATTTCTTTTTTCACTTGAGGAATTCTCTTTCAAATCTTCTAGGCATTTTTTTTTAATCAACGTCTTTGTTGGAGTATAATTGCTTTACAATGGTGTGTTAGTTTCTGCTTTATAAAAAAGTGAATCAGTTTTAAGGCAGAGCTCGGGGCCCAGGGCTGCCTAGGCAGTTTGGCTGGGCGGTGGCCCTGCCCCACTGAGCCGCTAGGGGGCAGATCCCCAGCTCTGGCCGTGGAGGCGGAGGCAGCAGGGGAGAGCTCCCAGGCCCCCGGAGGAAGCTCAGCCAGCGGATGCAGGGGCACCAGGACAGCTGGAGGAAGCGCGGGGGGTTCTCCCGTCCAAGGAAGTAACGGAGGCCGCACCTGGCAAGTCGGGGGCCAGGAAGAGAGGCGATCTGTAGAGAGCAACTGTGATAGGTTATGTCCTGCCCTGCAGGACCTTTGTCTCCTGTTGCCTCTTGGAGAGTTTGCTGTGGAACATCGCACGGAGCCAAAGGGCTTGGCCAGACTGCCTGTCTCCAACGTAGTGGTGGGACCCACGGTTGGCAGCCGTAAGGACCACAGGCCTTGGCTGACAGGGCTGTCAGTGGCTCCAGTGGGGACAGAGGCCTAGAAAGATGCGGGAACAGAGCCTTCCTTAGAGGCCGGCAAGGACCCGGAGGGCACTCAGGGGCCCTTCCTCAAATAACAGAGGGACACGTGAGACAGACCAGAATCCTGACGCCACCCGGGCAGGAAGAAGAGAAAGAGCGGGGAAACGAACTGTGGGCCTTGGTCCAGACAAGGTGGTTAACCGGTAGGAAATGGAGTTGCCTCTAACTGGCAAGTGTTTAGGCTTCCGACGGCCGTTGGTGGGACTGGAACTTCAGGGCGAGATTTCTGCACACCCGAGTTTAAGTATATAGATTTACTCTCCCACTGCAGACCTGAGGCCGTACCACATCACACTGGCCGTGCGGGCCGAAAATCCCATGAACCAAGAAGGCCTAGCCACGCTCTCGTGGATGCCCTGCTTTGCTGTGAGCCTCCCATGGCCCGTATACTCCAGAGGGGTAGTGGTGATGCTGGCAGGGCGGGCTGGGGAAGCAGAGGGCAGGAGCGCGTCGGGAAGCTGCAGTAACGGAAACCCTGGTCCTTCAGGCCTAAATGGGGATACGCTCCCTGTTTCTCAAGGCCCCTCCCTTCCTGTGCTTTCCTTTGCTGAGACGCCAGCAGCCACAGCCTAGATCCTCACGGCCGCCGCACCGTCTCTCAGGTCTAAAGAGGTGGTGGGGCTGCTGCGGGGGGGACCCCAACCCCACCCTCCAACCCCTCCTCACCGACGGGTCCCAGAGGTTGCGGTGCGCCCTTCCTCGCCGCCAGCGGTGGTCACGTGACACCGCGGTAGCCCAAGAGCTGTAAGGGAAGCCCGCGGGGGGAGCCTCTGGAAAGCTCCCCACGGGGACTGGCTCCGTCTGTGCCTTTGGGGCCTTTACGTTCCCCACTCCTGCTGCCTGAAAGGCTGGCAGGAACCCTGCAGGTCACCTCGCAAGCACCTGGGTGAGGGTCACCGCCCAGCGCTGTGGGCGTGGCCCCAGCACATCGCGGAGCTGCCATACCTGCTCCCAGGGCCTGCCTCTGGGCTGCTTTGACTTAAGAAAAAAATAAATAACCTCCTGGTGTGTCTATTCTACTGTTTTGGGGGGTTATTGCGAGTAGCGGCTGTAATCGTGTCAAAGGACTACAAACTGGGTGGTTTAAAACGAAAGAAATGTATTCTCGTTCCAGAGGTGCTAAGTCAAAGCCGAGGTGCCGGTGGGGCCTCGCTCCCTGCAGGCTGCAGAGAAGTGTTCTTTCCTGCCTCCTTCCGGCTTCGTCTCAACTCCATGACACTTGTCAAGACCCTCTTTCCAAATAAGGTCACATTCACGGGTTCCGGATGGACATGAATTGGGGGGAACACTTCTCGACTCAGTACAGCAGCCACGCTGCCTACCTGTCACACAGGATCAGAGTCATCCAGTTCCTCTAATGAAAGGGGACCAAGGTCAAGGGCGCACCTGGGAGGACAGGAGCCCAGAGCCTTGGTGTCCTCAGCAGTGCACTCCCACCCAACAGCTCTCCAGCCTGGTTCTTTGGATTGGATCAAAGTTCACCTTTTTGAAGGGGATGAAAACCAGGAGCTTCTCCCCTGAAAACCCACATGAAATGTTCACTTAATTTTAAGGCTAAACCTCTCCTGTAATCAACGGAGCTGACTAGCTGTGCAATCCAGGGTACAGAAATCCAAGTCAAAACAAAAGGGCACCTACAGAGGCTGCTAAGTGTCCTGAATACAAGAATTTTTATTTACCTCACAAAGTACTGACCGTGCAAATCCTTTGCCTAGCCACTTCCACTATATACTGATTCAAGGCAGCATTTACAACCATTCTAGTAATATAGAACTTCTCAGTCACAAACGCACTGCATGTAAAAATAGAAAAACATAATGGTCTCTTTTCATACCTTATAATATTGAAGGCAGAAATGTGAAATGTTTAAATTTTCAATGTAGTGCACATTTTTCCTTCTAGTAAGAGGCAGAATAATATAAATGATGATGTAAAGGTTCTTTCTTTTTGTTTCTGTGTAGAAGGAAGGTT